GGTAAGTGCTTTCTGACATTCTTTGGTTCGTTCAAAGCGTTTTCCTTTCTTGATGGCTTCGAAAAAAGGTTTTCAACGATCTGTTGAATTGGATATGAACCGATTAAGCGCGGCAAGTTGGCCAGCTAGGGCCTGAACACCCTTGACCGAGGTCGGGGGAGTTAAGTCTTGAATTGCTTTGATCTTGACCGGATTGGCTTCAATTCTCCGTTGACTGACCATGTAACCGAGGAACTTTCCAGACTCGACTCCAAAGGTGCATTTTTTGGGATTTAAGACCATGGAGTATGACCGAAGAATGTTGAACATTTCCTGAAGATGTGTTACATGGTCGGAGGCGTTCACCAACTTGACAAGCATATCGTCTATGTAGACTTCCATGGTATAACCGATTAAATTGGCAAACATCTTGTTGACGAGACGCTGATAAGTGGCCCCAGCGTTTCTTAATCCGAAGGGCATCATAGTATAGCAATATAGTCCTCGGGCAGAGTAGAACGAGGTGTGCTCTGAGTCCTCGGGATCCATGGGAATTTGATTATAACCGGAGTAAGCGTCCATAAAACTCATTAACTCGTGTCCCGAGGTGGCGACCACCATGTAATCAATATGAGAAAGTGGGTAACTGTCTTTTGGACACGCCTTATTCAAATCTGAGAAGTCAATGCACAAACGCCACAAGTCGTTGCTCTTCTTTACGAGGACAGGATTGGATACCCAAGTCGGGTATTTGGCTTCTTTAATGAACTTGTTGTCCACGAGTTTTCTGACTTCCTCTTCTAAAGCCTTCTGACGATCTGGTCTCAATTTTTGATGTTTCTGGATGACCGGTTTAACAGTTCGGTCGAGATTTAGCTTGTGGCTAGCAACACCGGGATCAATTCCCTTCATATCATCGTGTTTCCAGGCAAAGACATCAGAATTATTTTGGAGGAATGACACAAGTTTAGATCGAAGGGGTTCTTGAAGGTGGCTCCCAATGCGCAACGACTTTTGACATGTCAGTTTGTCAACATAAATCAACTCCACTTCCTCTCTGGGTTCGGCTCGATCATTTCGGCTTTTCTCTTTGAATTGAGTTCTTGGATCCAATTCATCTTCTTCTTGAACTGGTTCTTTTCCAGGTCTTCTACCTCGGTCCTCAGTTAAAGGATCCAAAGTGAAGGGGACATCAAGATCATGACTCGGTTCCTCGGAAATTGTGTTGTCCGAGGTGGTCAATGGTTGGGGATTTATTTCGTCGACCGAATTGACGGAATGAACTCCGGTGGATGGTATAAAGGTGATGAGTTCTCGAGCTTCTCTTTGGTCTCCATAATGTGTTCCCTCTCCACGGGTAGTCGGAAATTTGAGTGCGTAATGAAAAATAGAAACAACAGCTCGGAGCTTGTATAAGGCAGTCCTTCCAATGATTGTGTTATATTCATTGTTGATGTCGAGAACTTTGAAGGTTTCCATGACAAGTTTTGTGACGTGTTCCGCCGTACCAAATCTGACAGGTAGAGTAATCTCACTAATAGGTCGTGAAATGCTCCCGTTAAACCCTTGTATTTGGTCATTGCAAGGTCGGATGTCGGCGGGATCGAGACCCATTTTGTCAAAGGCTTTCAGCATCAGAATACTCGAGTATGCCCTGGTATCAACCATGACATGGTGGACCGGGATCCCACATATCGGAACGGTAATGACGAGTGCGTCGGAATGAGGGTGTGTAAAGTGATTCGCATCTTCTCTGTTGAAAGTAATGGGGCAATTTCGGGCATTGAGAACGTCCCGCAGATCGGTGGTAAAAACATGTTTTTCTGAATTGTAAGCTTGCCGAGCGTAGGCTTTGATTTGTCGACGAGATGAGGTACCTCGGAATTATTAGTATTTACTTGATGGACGGTGATTTGCATCAGGCTTGGAGATCGGCTTCGTTTAAGTCCTCGGGAGTATCCAGTTGACTCAGCATTGAGCATTCCCGAGGTGAACATAAACACTTCTTTTTTTCCTTGCCGGATTTGTTTTGGCGCAGCGCCTCGGTCTTCGTCCTCATCTTCATCGTAGGGATCAATTTGACGTCCTGGCCCCCGTTTCTGGGTATCGGAGTTGCGATAGAACTTCCTGAGTTGCGGATGACCGATTAATCGTAATAGGGCAGCTAACAGGCTTAAACACTCATCGGTGTTGTACCCCGGCGATTTATGATAGTCGCAATACTGGGACTTATCTAACTTGTCCTCGGGCATCCGAAGTGGTTTAGGATCGGGCAGAATACCTTTTCCTTTGATCTCTTCATAGATGGTGGCAGCCCCAGCTGAATAAACGGTTTGGTAACCGGATTTCACGTCGTTAGCGTACTGTTTCCAGGCCGCCCAGATTTCGGGGTCGTTGGCATCTCCCCGGGGGTAACCTCGAAATTGAGCCTTGTTTTGCTTATCAAAGGATTTGTTTTTCTTCCTGTCATCAGTTACCGACTTAGATGACTTTGGATTGAAATTAAAATCAGGGACCGACATCGCTTCCTCGGCAATAATATGTTGCTGGGCTCGGGCAAGGGATTCCTGGAAGGTGTTTGGCTTGTTCTGACATAATGTCCATCAAAAAATGGAACTCGGTTTCAACCACGCGATAGCCATAACAAGCAGGGTTTCGGGATGACATGGCTCCATATTTTGAACTCGGTCAATAAATCGAGCAATATAGTCCTTGACACTTTTTTCATCTTTTTTAGTGACATTTGCAAGAGACTCTTACGGAACCAAACAAACTTGGACCCCATTTTTGAGCTCGAGGCCCCAGAGTGAGGGAAAACATGCGACACCGAAGTGCGTCCGAGGCCCCATGGAGATCCATCCATGATGTGTAATGACCGAGGTGAGAGTCAGGATCCGACGTCCCATCGTATAGTCTAATTTGGGGAAATTTGACTTTTCCTGGTACTGGGTCCGAAGTAAGCTAAGGTGTGGGGAGTCGGCTTCTAAGTATACTTGAGCCGAGGTGGAGGCTCGTCGGGGAGGATCTTCCTGTGCCCTCTGCCGACTTTCTAATTCAGCAATTCTTCGCCGTAACACTTCTAATTCCATGGATTCTTGCCGAGCTGACCGATTTCTCTCAATTTGTTGACGGAGGTTTGTTCGAGCTGGATGGGAATGAGCTTGAGGCCGCACGGGTGGTGGAGAACGCCGTGGTTGTCCCGATTGACTTTCAGCTGGTTTTTCATGAGGGATCGCCGGGGGAGCACGTGCTGTCTCGACGTGCCGTGTTATGCGTTCTTGGTGCGGAGGCGACGTTCGACTGCGAGGCTGAGACGTGGCGTGAGAAGTAGTTCCTCCACCGTCTCGTAGGGTAGACGGAATTCTTGGATTTGCAGGGGTAGTAGGAATTAGAGATTGTCCCGGCACCGTCGTTGACATCCCAGGGACAGTTTGAGCCAAACCCGCGCGCAAACTCTGGATTTTGAAACAGAGTGGTATAATCAGGCAGGTTGGGTATTGCAGCAGGACGCCTGGCAGATTGAGCGCTACGACTGTGTCCGTCGCGCGATGTATGACCATGATGATCTGAATGCGACATGTGTACAGTGATTGATGTGGCTAAGAGGCCAAGGATTGACGGTTAACCTCAAACAACTTATGAGGCCCTTCCTCTAGCGCCAGACTGTTGTTGTGTGATTCTTAACAACGATTTTAAATTGGAATTACGTATGTGTTGGGTGATTGTAAACGTAAAGCATGCAATCATAACGCGAACAATGGCCCCGGTCCGAGGTGAACCGAGGTGAAAAGCTATAGTGAGCTGTTACGTGTTTTCTTGGTAAAAAAAAGTTCAGGGATCCCCCGTACAAGTATGTGAAGTAACTATTTATAGTAACTTTTTGAAATACATATCGGGATTTTGTGCGATGCATTTTTCATAAAGCTACTATTGATGGGCGGTCTCGTCAGTGGGTCCCACTTGAATGATGGAAGATCACGTGGTCCGTAGAGATGGCGCGTAGGGGTCTCGTCACCAGCTTCGGTAATAGTGACCTCGATTTATGGAGATTTCAGTTTATAATGACCTCGGCACGGGATGACGTCGGTGTGATGGCCTCGGTGTGATGATCACCTCGGTCTTCTATGGTTAGGCCGGTTTAGTATGCGGACCGGGATGATTGCTGACCATGTCGATGTTGGTAATAATCCATCTAAAGCGTGGTTTAAGGCTAGTAATTTCGGATTATCGAATCGGATGATAACACCATTGGAATATTCGTTGGAATTTCCATTGGAATATACTACCATAGGATTTTTCGTCGGAATATAACAATTTTTTTGTAGTGTTCGTTATAAGATGTATGCTACTACCTCCTATTCTTTTTAAATGTCATTTTTACATTATTAACTACTAACATAATAAATATCGGTTTGGATATTTATACATATTTTTTCATTAATACACTCATCTAACTAATAAATACCAGTGTTCTAGAAGTCGCTAGGCGCCCGCTAGGCGCCCGACCAGCGCCTAGCGCCTAGAGCGCCTAGGCGGGGCCTAGAAATTAATATTAAATATATTATTTTTTGTTTATTTATTTTCACTTCCTACAAAATGAAAGTATTTCAATTTATAACAAATGTCCACACACTTAAATACAAACAATAATATTAATGTATTATAATAAAAAATTGAAAATTGAAAACATGATAGCAATTAGCAATCCACATTAGCAACCCACATGACAACAAGTTAGTAATATTGTACTAATCACAATCTAAAAACAAACTCCAAGTCTAAAATAAACTCAAAACAAACTCCAAGTCCAAATAAATACATAAAAACTACTAAGTACTAAGTAGTAATAATTATTAATTACATAACCACAATCTCAAAAGAAACCCCAAGTATCAAAGATTCAAAACAACCCACATGGCCAAATGTCCAAAACACTAATAAGAAACAATAGCCAATATCTAAGAAATATGGCCAAGCACAAGAGGATCTTCTTCTTCTTCTCCATAATTCTCCAATACACGCTATTCATCCGACTCAAAGTCGATGTCATTCTCATTAACTTGTTCCTCCTCCTCGGATTCAAAATCTTCTTCCTCAAGCTCTCTCACTCTTGGTGTGCCATCCTCAACTTCAAGTCCATTAACGTCCTCATCTTCCTCGTCTACTAATCCCGGAATAATCCACTCTTGAGCTTTACTTGCCTTACTAGCAAGTAACACATCCTTTTCTTTCCTCCGTTTGCGCTTGTTCAATAAACGAGAATTGAATTGGACATAAACTAGATTGTTCAAGCGGGAAACATCAAGCCGATTTCTTTTTTTTTTGTATGTATCTAAGAAATAAATAAAACCACATTTTATAATATAAGTATGACAATAAAAATAATAACAATGAAAAAATTACAAAACAATTAAAAAATAGTATATCCAACTAACCCCTTCAAATGTACTCCAATTTCTTTCACACCCGGACGAGCTTGTGGTTAATGACAAGATTCTTATGGCAACTCTTTGCAAATTAGGAGTTCCACATCCATAATTTAACCACCAAGTGGCTATGCATAAAAAAAAAAAAAAACAGAGAAATTGATATGAAAGCATAATCATTGTGTAGCAATTTAATCTTAAAAAACAAGCATAAGACAAATAAAAATTAAAAAACAAATATATTATTTCAAGACATCACATAAGAGGCAAGACAAGATATAATATATATAATTATATATATATATATATATATATTTATACCCGGATCAAACTTCTCGTCGTTTACTTCACAACCTTTTGCGGCAATTGGCTTCCCAAAGGCTCCTCCTTTTGTCTTATAAATGGGCAACTCAACGTTTATGATTTTATCCATCAAATCAAAGTTATCATGACAAATGACATCAAGACAATCAAAAACTCCATCCGAAACAACTTGATCTAATACGAGATTCGGGTCCTCATAATGATAATAAGGATTTAGTAGATATGCCATCAAGTGCAACGGGGTGTCCAATCTACCCATCATCTTCGTGTCAATGATTTCTAAGGTGGGATCATAGTTCTTGGCAAGATTGTTCAAGACACTTTTTATATCCTCTTTGGCATGCATAAGCTCCCCATACAAAAATCCCATCGACGGCTTTTTATCGGCATCCGCAATGCGAAGCACCTTAACCAAAGGAGCAAAAATAGTCAAGAAAGAAGTCACACCATTCCAAAAACTAATAGACATCACGGTGTTGTAACTTGCTTTC